GAAAAAACACTTTATCGCGTTCCATTTTTCACAAAGCAAAAGAAATTGTTGTTTAGGAAAATAATTGTGTATGCTGACTGAATGTTATCGAGAAATGTCGAAATTAATCACAAACTACCTGTTTCGTTAGTAATGACTACTAGAACTGTTTGCATTGCCATCTAACATTTGCGGGCGGAAACTAAGTTAAGGTCCTAATAACTTAGCTATCAATTGGTAAAGTACACTAAAGGAAAAATTATTTTAAAATCAACAAATATTTCTTTAATGTGGGTGCCATTAACATATTTATTTAAATCTAAATTCTCTTTATTTAAACCAAATATTGTTTACTTACATCAGATAAACAATATTTGATTTAAATAAAGAGAATTTAGATTTAAATAAAAATATGTTAATGGCACCCATCAAAGAAATATTTGTTGATTTTAAAGTAATTTTTCTCTCAGTGTAGCATAGCGCATAAGGCGACCATCGATTCAGAGGTTCAGGTTAAAATTTAAAATAAGCGTAACTCGAGTCACTCTACATCGATGAAAAAAATCGAAACCTCGTGTAAATCATAGGTAAAAAATCGGAACTTTTTTTTTTAACAAATTCTAGCAAAGATATTTTAAAAATACATTGCATTTGAAAGTACAAAAAATTATATTTTTTTTATCGTACAAGTTGAAACTGGAGAGAACCAGAAGAAGTAATTCAAACCGGATGCCACCAGACTACTGAGCTGTTTTGCTGCTCTTTGCGATAAATCCGAACGCGCGTAGTAAACATTCTCTGGAAGAATATAGATTGCGAGCAATTACAATTTATTCATAGAAAAATAAAAGACCAAGTTTTAAAGTTACTTGACAAAATTAACCAAGTTTCGAAATAAAAACTGAGATTAAAAGAGCAAATATGAAAGAATACATATTTTATTAATAAACAATACTAGTAAACAACAAAACAAACAACAAAACATATTTTATTAATAAACAATATTAGTAAACAACAAAATAGCAAAAAATTACTAAATACTCAAAATATACAGATTTTCATGTACTTTTAAAGAACTTCTTTTTTATCTTTCCTGTTCAACAACCGTAATTATCAATTCACTTTACCTCGTAGTCGTCTTCCTCAGGATAAGGAATCTCTTAGAAATTCCTTAACTTAATTATTTTCACGAAAGCTCGGATCTTATCGCGCTTTTCGCGAAACCCACACGAAAAGACTTGCTCTCCAAAATATACACGCGGAAAGGTAATCCGTTCACTCTAAAAACACCGGATGTGAAATGAATTAAAGATGCGACACGGTCACAAGAAAGATACAACAACTAAGTCAAGTAAGACGAACAAAGCCGCGTTAACCGATCATGAAAGTAGCGACATATACTCTGAAGTTAAATTGGACTATTTATACTGCTTCCGCTTATCGAAAATCGGATGTACAGAGAGAAAGAGGATAACAAAGTGCATACGGATAGGAGGGAGAGACACAGAACGGTGGAAAAAACGCAGGC